AGTCCATTGTAGTGCCTCTCCTGTTATGTGTGCACGATCCTCTAGCTTTTGCAGTAACCTCTTGTGAGAAACTGTGTCGACGGCCTTCTTGCAGTCCAAAAAAAAATGCAGTCTTTCCATCTCTCTATAATCTTACTTCTGTCACCTTGTCATAAAACTCCAGTAGGTTTGTGACACAGGATTTTCCTTCCCTGAAACTGTGCTCGTTGTCGATTATGCACTTGCTTCTTTCCAGGTGCTCCACCACTCTCCTCCTGATGATCTTCTCCATGACTTTGCATATTATACACGTTAGTGACACAGGTCTGTAGTTTAATGTCTCGAGTTTGTCTCCTTTTTTTAAAAATTGGGACTTCATTTGCCATCTTCCATACCTCAGGGAGTTGCCCAGTTTCAATGGATTTGTTGAAGATCTCTGTTAGTGGCACACACAGCATCTCTGCTCCCTCTCTAAGGACCCACGGAGAGATCTTGTCTGGTCCCAAGGTATCAAGTTCACCCTCCAGCCCGAGTACCACCCTCTAGCCCGAGTACCACCCTAAAGTCCGTGTACCACCCTCCAGCTCTTGTTCCACCCTCCAGCCCGTGTACCACCCTCCAGCCCGTGTATCACCCTCCAGCCCGTGTACCACCCTCCGCCCGTGTACCACCCTCCAGCCCGTGTATCACCCTCCAGCCCGTGCACCACCCTCCAGTCCGTGTACCACCCTCCAGCCCGTGTACCACCCTCCATCTCGTGTACCACCCTCCGCCCCTTGTACCACCCTCCAGCACATGTACCACCCTCCAGCCCTTGTACCACCCTCCAGCCCATGTACCACCCTCCAGCCCTTGTACCACCCTACAGCCCGTGAACCACTCTCCAGCCCGATTACCACCCTCCAGCCCGAGTACCACCCTCCAGCCCGAGTACCACCCTACAGTCCGTGTATCACCTTCAAGCCCTTGTACCACCCTCCAGCCAGTATACCACCCTCCAGCCCGTGTACCACCCTCCAACCCGTGTACCACCCTCCAGCCCGTGTACCACCCTCCAGCCCGTGTACCACCCATCAGCCCTTGTACCACCCTCCAGCACGTGTACCAAACTCCAGCCCGTGTACCACCCTCCAGCCCTTGTACCACCCTCCAGCACGTGTACCACCCTCCAGCCCTTGTACCACCCTCCAGCCCATGTACCACCCTCCAGCCCTTGTACCACCCTACAGCCCGTGAACTACCCTCCAGCCCGATTACCACCCTCCAGCCCGAGTACCACCCTCCAGCCCGAGTACCACCCTCCAGCCCGTGTACCACCCTCAAGCCCGTGTACCACCCTCCAGCCAGTGTACCACCCTCCAGCCCGTGTACCACCCTCCAGCCCTGTACCACCCTCCAGCCCGAGTACCACCTTCCAGCCCGAGTACCACCCTAAAGCCCGTGTACCACCCTCCAGCCCGTGTACCACCCTTCAGCCCGTGTACCACCCTCCAGCCCATGTATCACCCTCCAGCCCGTGTACCACCCTCCAGCCCGTGTACCACCCTCCATCACGTGTACCACCCTCCAGCCCTTGTACCACCCTCCAGCCCGAGTACCACCCTAAAGCCCTTGTACCACCCTCCAGCCCGTGTACCACCCTCCAGCCCTTGTACTACCCTCCAGCCCGATTACCACCCTCCAGCCCGAGTACCACCCTCCAGCTCGAGTACCACCCTCCAGCCCGTGTACCACCCTCAAGCCCTTGTACCACCCTCCATCCCGTGTACCACCCTCCAGCCCCTGTACTACCCATCAGCCCTTGTACCACCCTCCAGCCCGTGTATCAAACTCCAGCCCGTGTACAACCCTCCAGCCCTTGTACCACCCTCCAGCACGTGTACCACCCTCAAGCCCTTGTACCACCCTGCAGCCCATGTATCACCCTCCTGCCCTTGTACCACCCTACAGCCCGTGAACCACCCTCCAGCCCGATTACCACCCTCCAGCCCAAGTACCACCCTCCAGCCCGAGTACCACCCTCCAGCCCGTGTACCACCCTCAAGCCCTTGTACAACCATTCAGCCCGTGTGCCACCCTCCAGCCCGTGAACCACCCCAAGCCAGTGTACCACCCTCCAGCCCGTGCACCACCCTGGAATCCGTGCACCACCGTCCAGCCCGTGCACCACCCTCCAACCCGTGCACCACCCTCCAGCCCGTGCACCACCCTCCAGTCCGTGCACCACCCTCCAGCCCGTGCACCACCCTCCAACCCGTGCACCACCCTCCAGCTCGTTCACCACCCTCCACCCCGTGCACCACCCTCCAGCCCGTGCACCACCCTCCAACCCGTGCACCACCCTCCAGCCCGTGCACCACCCTCCAACCCGTGCACCACCCTCCAGCTTGTGCACCACCCTCCAGCCCGTGCACCACCCTCCAGCCCGTGCACCACCCTCCAACCCGTGCACCACCGTCCAGCCCGTGCACCACCCTCCAGCCCGTGCACCACCCTCCAGCCCGTGCACCACCCTCCAACCCGTGCACCACCCTCCAGCCCGTGCACCACCCTCCAACCCGTGCACCACCCTCCAACCCGTGCACCACCCTCCAGCCCGTGCACCACCCTCCAACCCGTGCACCACCATCCAGCTCGTGAACCACCCTCCAGCCCGTGTACCACCCTCCAGCCCGTGCACCACCCTCCAACCCGTGCACCACCCTCCAGCCCGTGCACCACCCTCCAACCCGTGCACCACCCTCCATCCCGTGCACCACCCTCCAGCCCGTGCACCACCCTCCAGCCCGTGCACCACCCTCCAGCCCATGCACCACCCTCCAGCCCGTGCACCACTTTCCAACCCGTGCACCACCCTCCAGCCCGTGCACCACCCTCCAACCCGTGCACCACCCTCCAGCTTGTGCACCACCCTCCAGCCCGTGCATCACCCTCCAGCCCGTGCACCACCCTCCAACCCGTGCACCACCGTCCAGCCCGTGCACCACCCTCCAGCCCGTCCACCACCCTCCAGCCCGTGCACCACCCTCCAACCCGTGCACCACCCTCCAGCCCGTGCACCACCCTCCAACCCGTGCACCACCCTCCAGCCCATGCACCACCCTCCAGCCCGTGCACCACCCTCCAACCCGTGCACCACCCTCCAACTCATGCACCACCCTCCATCCCGTGCACCACCCTCCAGCCCGTGTACCACCCTCCAGCCCGTGTACCACCCTCCAGCCCGTGAACCACCCTCCAGCCCATGCACCACCCTCCAGCCCGTGTACCACCCTCCAGCCCGTGCACCACCCTCCAGCCCGTGCACCACCCTCCAGCCCGTGCACCACCCGCCAGCCCGTGCACCACCCTCCAACCCGTGCACCACCCTCCAACCCGTGCACCACCCTCCAGCCCGTGCACCACCCTCCAGCCCGTGCACCACCCTCCAGCCCGTGCACCACCCTCCAACCCTTTCTCAAGTGTCTTTTTTATATAGAAGTCTGTATTAGTCAACATCTTAATAAATCAGTGAGCGAGATAAAGAGTGAGACAGACAGAGAGACAGACAGACAGAGAAATAGCATCGTAAAAATAATAAAATACATATAGACTTTGGGTTTTGCAAAATTTGGGTTTGAAAGTCTATCGAGTTCACGAGGATCATTAAGAACTCGTGTAATCTGTTTACAACTTGTCAAGAACCCTCATCATTTAAATGCGCATTAAGTTAAAGTCCCCATTGAAAAGTAAACATACGAGCAGTAGTATGTGATCCTTTATTGACAACGTTTCGTCCACACTGTGGGCTTTATCAAGTCTCAAGCAGATCTGCTTGTGACATGATAAAGTCCATTGTTTGGGCGAAACGTTGTCAATAAAGCATCATACTATACTGCTTATGTGTTTATTTTTCCACTGTGTCGGTATTTTATACCATTTCAGAAAACTCTCTATGCATAGATACTGGAAGACATATACCTCTCGGTGTATATATCCTATATGTTCATTAAACAGGTCCTTAACATAAACAAACTAAGGTAATATATAATACATAGTCACCGGTGGCTCATCTACGAATCATTGCATCTTAGGATTTCGTTCGGATTTTTAACCCCGGAGGGTTAGCCACCCATGATAACCCAAGAAAGTCAGTGCGTCATCGAGGACTGTCTAACTTATTTCCATTGGGGTCCTTAATCTTGTCCCCCAGGATGCGACCCACACCAGTCGACTAACACCCAGGTACCTATTTGCTGCTAGGTGAACAGGACAACAGGTGTAAGGAAACGTGTCGAATGTTTCCACCCGCCGGAAATCGAACCCGGGCCCTCCGTGTGTGAAGCGGGAGCTTTAGCCACCGGGCCACCGGGCCACCACTAAGTGGACTGGTTAACTTCTGAGAGAGAAATAAGAGTTGTGACTCTCATGGTTACGCCAGGAAAAAGAGGCATATGAATTAGAAATTAGTCTACAACATTCAGAAATGAAACCGAACACTCAGGTATACAGTTGGTGCTGTGAGGTCAGGTAAGCGGAGGAAACCTATCAACTGTAGCCAATAATGTAGCGCACCAACAGGCCAACCAGAAGAAAATACGATTGAAGCCTTGCAGAAGGTTTTCCCTTCCAATAACAGTGAATTATTATTATTATTATTATTATTATTGTTATTATTATTATTATTATTATTAGAGTAATCATAAAATTAAACCGAAAGGAGAGAGAAAACGAAAGATCAAATGATAACGAATACGGTCATGTATTAGCAGAAGAAGAAGAAGAAGAAGAAGAAGAAGAAGAAGAAGAAGAAGAAAGAAAGAAAGAAAGAAAGAAAGAAAGAAAGAAAGAAAGAAAGAAAGAAAGAAAGAAAGAAAGAAAACAAAGAAAGGGAAGAAAAAGAAACCAACAACAGCAACGACAATAACACATTCTGAAGATTACCACCTTAACAATATTCTGCTCCTCAAATTATTCCCCTTATTTAGTAATTTCATACTTCCAGTATGTTATATGCTAATTATTGTACAATTGTTGCACAGATTCACCAGTGTGTCGTCCTGGGCAGCGGTGGGTGTACGGTGTGGCACGCAACGAGATGATCCACGTGGCTTGCCAAGTGGATTCCCACCCAACACAAGTGTCCTTCAACTGGGTCCTGAACAACACCTCCGAGACCACTGACATCCCGGAGGCTCACATCACAGACAACCACACTCTCAGCAAGGTGAGATTATGTTATATTCTGTTAGTAAACAGATTTTTTAAGTAAGCTTCCTGCTGGCTATTAGATATGGCTCGTAGGGAGATTTTCTGCTTCTAAGCAAAGCACTTAGTTTCTCAGATTTTAAGGACTACTAGATGCTCGTGGGTCACTGTATTTAAAGTCACAATTCACATGCACACAACTTGTCAGGAATGTTTTAATTAGGGATTAAAGTGAACTTTCACTGTATATTTACAAACACCTGTCGGTATTTATTCTCTAAGATACAAGTATCTCTTGATATATACACACAAGATATATAATTCATAGTGTATATACACTAAGATATATGCAGTTCGTGTCGTATGTGCACTGAGAGATACAAACCTTACGACGAATAATCAGTGCAAGCAGAGACAGTGGTGTTCAGGTCTCCTGGTGAACAGAAAAAAATTATTTAGTAGATTTGTTGAAGCACAGTAGTGATAACAAGGATAAAACAGACGAATTTAAACAATATTGTAAATATCGTTTACATACAATTCATAACCTTTTTGGGGAATCTTATTTTAATTTTTTCCATTAAATATGCGTCACTAGATCATCCCTCAGTTGTTTTTCACTGAGTTACAAATTAAATTTCCTTCTCAGATCCTGCTTATTACCTTAATTTAGATTTCTCACTTAATTGAAATGAGTTTCCTAGATCTTACTAGATGAGACGTCTGAAAGAGAAGTCACACCAAGATACATCGTTTTTCCACCACATAGACGTTGTTCTCCAGAATACGTCAGTTGTCATACAAGCAACTTGCTTTCCAATAACTTTAACGACTATCGTACAAATTTCTCCGTCAGATTTTTTCCCTTTAAGTTATCTACATGACCTTTCATGCAAGGTACAGCTGCAAGCACAGGTGCGGCAGAGGTACAGGTGTAAGTACAGGTGCAGGCAGAGGTACAGATGCAAGTACAGGTGCAGACAGAGGTACAGATGCAAGTACAGGTGCAGGCAGAGGTACAGATGCAAGTACAGGTGCAGGCAGAGGTACAGATGCAAGCACAGGTGCAGGCAGAGGTACAGGTGTAAGTACAGGTGCAGGCAGAGGTACAGATGCAAGCACAGGTGCAGGCAGAGGTACAGGTGTAAGTACAGGTGCAGACAGAGGTACAGATGCAAGTACAGGTGCAGACAGAGGTACAGATGCAAGTACAGGTGCAGGCAGAGGTACAGATGCAAGTACAGGTGCAGGCAGAGGTACAGGTGTAAGTACAGGTGCAGGCAGAGGTACAGATGCAAGCACAGGTGCAGGCAGAGGTACAGGTGTAAGTACAGGTGCAGGCAGGTACAGATGCAAGCACAGGTGCAGGCAGAGGTACAGGTGTAAGTACAGGTGCAGACAGAGGTACAGATGCAAGTACAGGTGCAGACAGAGGTACAGATGCAAGTACAGGTGCAGGCAGAGGTACAGATGCAAGTACAGGTGCAGGCAGAGCTACAGATGCAAGTACAGGTGCAGGCAGAGGTACAGATGCAAGTACAGGTGCAGACAGAGGTACAGGTGTAAGTACAGGTGCAGGCAGAGGTACAGATGCAAGTACAGGTGCGGACAGAGGTACAGATGCAAGTACAGGTGCAGGCAGAGGTACAGATGCAAGTACAGGTGCAGGCAGAGCTACAGATGCAAGTACAGGTGCAGGCATAGGTACAGATGCAAGTACAGGTGCAGGCAGAGGTACAGATGCAAGTACAGGTGCAGGCAGAGGTACAGATGCAAGTACAGGTGCAGGCAGAGGTACAGATGCAAGTACAGGTGCAGACAGAGGTACAGGTGTAAGTACAGGTGCAGGCAGAGGAACAGGTGTAAGTACAGGTGCAGACAGAGGTACGGATGCAAGTACAAGTGCAGAAAGAGGTACAGGTGCAAGTACAGGTGCAGACAGAGGTACACATGCAAGTACAGGTGCAGACAGAGGTACAGATGCACGTACAGGTGCAGACAGAGGTACAGGTGCAAGTATAGGTGCAGGCAGAGGTACAGATGCAAGTACAGGTGCAGACAAAGGTACAGATGCAAGTACAGGTGCAGACAGAGGTACAGATGCAAGTACAGGTGCAGACAGAGGTACATATGCAAGTACAGGTGCAGACAGAAGTACAGATGCAAGTACAGGTGCAGACAGAGGTACAGATGCAAGTACAGGTGCAGGCAGAGGTACAGGTGCAAGTACAGGTGCAGGCAGAGGTACAGATGCAAGTACAGGTGCAGGCATCGGTACAGATGCAAGTACAGGTGCAGGCATAGGTACAGATGCAATTACAGGTGCAGGCAGAGGTACAGGTGTAAGTACAGGTGCAGACAGAGGTACAGGTCTAAGTACAGGTTCAGACAGAGGTACAGATGCAAGTACAGGTGCAGGCAGAGGTACAGATGCAAGTACAGATGCAGGCAGAGGTACAGATGCAAGTACGGGTGCAGGCATAGGTACAGCTGCAAGTACAGGTGCAGACAGAGGTACAGATGCAAGTACAGGTGCAGGCAGAGGCACAGATGCAATTACAGGTGCAGGCAGAGGTACAAGTGTAAGTACAGGTGCAGGCAGAGGTACAGGTGTAAGTACAGGCTCAGACAGAGGTACAGATGCAAGTACAGGTGGGGGCAGAGGTACAGATGCAAGTACAGGTGCAGACAGAGGTACAGTTGCAAGTACAGGTGCAGGCAGAGGTACAGATGCAAGTACAGGTGCAGACAGAGGTACAGATGCAGGTACAGGTGCAGACAGAGGTACAGATGCAAGTACAGGTGCAGACAGAGGTACAGGTGCAAGTACAGGTGCAGGCAGAGGTACAGATGCAAGTACAGGTGCAGGCAGAGGTACAGATGCAAGTACAGGTGCAGGCATAGGTACAGATGCAAGTACAGGTGCAGGCAGACGTACAGATGCAAGTACAGGTGCAGGCAGAGGTACAGATGCAAGTACAGGTGCAGGCAGAGGTACAGATGCAAGTACAGGTGCAGACAGAGGTACAGGTGTAAGTACAGGTGCAGGCAGAGGTACAGATGCAATTACAGGTGCAGGCAGAGGTACAGGTGTAAGTACAGGTGCAGACAGAGGTACAGATGCAAGTACAGGTGCAGACAGAGGTACAGATACAAGTACAGGTGCAGACAGAGGTACAGGTGCAAGTACAGGTGCAGGCAGAGGTACAGATGCAAGTACAGGTGCAGGCAGAGGTACAGATGCAAGTACAGGTGCAGGCATAGATACAGATGCAAGTACAGGTGCAGGCAGAGGTACAGATGCAAGTACAGGTGCAGGCAGAGGTACAGATGCAAGTACAGGTGCAGGCAGAGGTACAGATGCAAGTACAGGTGCAGGCAGAGGTACAGGTGTAAGTATAGGTGCAGACAGAGGTACAGATGCAAGTACAGGTGCAGACAGAGGTACAGATGCAAGTACATGTGCAAACAGAGGTACAGGTGCAAGTACAGGTGCAGGCAGAGGTACAGATGCAAGTACAGGTGCAGACAGAGGTACATAAGCAAGTACAGGTGCAGACAGAGGTACAGATGCAAGTACAGGTGCAGACAGAGGTACAGATGCAAGTACAGGTGCAGACAGAGGTACAGATGCAAGTAGAGGTGCAGACAGAGGTACAGATGCAAGTACAGGTGCAGGCAGAGGTACAATTTCAAGTAAAGGTGCAGACAGAGGTACAGATGCAAGTACAGGTGCAGACAGAGGTACAGATGCAAGTACAGGTGCAGGCAGAGGTACAGATGCAAGTACAGGTGCAGACAGAGGTACAGATGCAAGTACAGGTGCAGACAGAGGTACAGATGCAAGTACAGGTGCAGACAGAGGTACAGATGCAAGTACAGGTGTAGACAGAGGTACAGGTGCAATTACAGGTGCAGGCAGAGGTACAGGTGTAAGTACAGGTGGCAGACAGAGGTACAGATGCAAGTTTCAGTTGCAGGCAGAGGTACAGATGCAAGTACAGGTGCAGGCAGAGGTACAGATGCAAGTACAGGTGCAGGCAGAGGTACAGATGCAAGTACAGGTGCAGACAGAGGGACAGGTGTAAGTACAGGTGCAGGCAGAGGTGCATGTGTAAATACAGGTGCAGGCAGAGGTACAGATGCAAGTACAGGTGCAGACAGAGGTACAGATGCAAGTACAGGTGCAGACAGAGGTACAGGTGCAAGTACAGGTGCAGGCATAGGTACAGGTGCAGGCAGAGGTACAGATGCAAGTACAGGTGCAGACAGAGGTACAGATGCAAGTACAGGTGCAGACAGAGGTACAGATGCAAGTACAGGTGCAGACAGAGGTAAAAGGTGCAAGTACAGGTGCAGGCAGAGGTGCATGTATAAGTACAGGTGCAGGCAGAGGTACAGTGCAAGTACAGGTGCAGACAGAGGTACAGATGCAAGTACAGGTGCAGACAGAGGTACAGATGCAAGTACAGGTGCAGACAGAGGTACAGATGCAAGTACAGGTGCAGACAGAGGTACAGATGCAAGTTACAGGTGGAGACAGAGGTTTCAGATGCAAGTACAGGTGCAGCAGAGGTACAGATGCAAGTACAGGTGCAGACAGAGGTACAAGATGCAAGTCAGGTGCAGACGAGGTACAGATGCAAGTACAGGTGCAGAAGAGGTACAGATGAAGTACAGGTGCAGGCAGAGCGTACAGATGCAAGTACAGGTGTAGACAGAGGTACAGATGCAAGTACAGGTGCAGGCAGAGGTACAGATGCAATTACAGGTGCAGACAGAGGTACAGGTGTAAGTACAGGTGCAGGCAGAGGTACAGATGCAATTACAGGTGCAGGCAGAGGTACAGGTGTAAGTACAGGTGCAGACAGAGGTACAGATGCAAGTACAGGTGCAGGCAGAGGTACAGATGCAAGTACAGGTGCAGACAGAGGTACAGGTGCAAGTACAGGTGCAGGCAGAGGTACAGATGCAAGTACAGTTGCAGGCAGAGGTACAGATGCAAGTACAGGTGCAGGC